ATTTGGTTTTGTAACATAATCCCACATTTCCTGTAAACTTTGGTCTTGTTTCTGTGTTCCCTTTCTTCCTCTGATTTTGTTTAGAGCATAGGCATAATCTTCAGGTTCTGAGATTCTTTCTTCTGCATGATCCATCCTGTTCTTTAGGCTTTCTACTGAATTATGGAGATCCTTGATTGTTTCCTTCATTGCTAGAATTTCTGTTTGGTTTTTCTTGATAGTCTCAATTTCTTTGGAGAATCTTTCATTCATTTCCTGTATTGTTCTTGTGGTTTCTCTATGTTGTGATTCTATTTTCTCTTCAATTCCATTCAGTTTTGTAGCAATCCATATTTGGAAATCTTCCTCTGTCAGTTTACTCATATCATGTAAGTTGGTGTCAGACGATGGAAAATGAGTATTTGCTTTGGAGGTGACTTTTCTCTCTGGTCCTTCATGTTTCCTGTAAACTTTTGCTGGTTCTTTCTCATCTGGACGCTTTATTGAGGATTGGAGATGCAGGGAATGGATTATGAGCTAAAATCAGAGGTGCTTGAGCTTCCAGGGACCACTGAGAATCTCCACTGAGGGTTGAAGACTATCCCTTTTCCGCGTGTCACCAGTGGAGCTATAGCCGCTGCAGACCCGTGGGAAGGATCCACGGAGGATGGCGCTAGACCCCTCTTACGCCCCTTCCCCGGCAGAGCTCAAGCAGCTGGAATCCACAGACAAGTTCCACTGAGGGGTGAAAACTTTCTGCGCCCCGGTGGCGGGTCTTGGGTTGCTGGAGACCCTTGGGGAGGGTCCACAGAGGATGGCTCTCGTCCCCCCTTCTACCCTTTCACTGGCAGAGCTCAAGTGGCTGGGGTCCGGGGACAAGTTTCGCCGAGGGGTGAAGATTATCCACACGTCTCCATCCCCGGTGGCGGGGTGTGGACAGCTGGAGACCCCTGGGGAGGGTCTGCCGGGGATGGCTCTTGTGCCCTGCTCTGTCCCTTCACTGGCAGAGCTCAAGCGGCTGGGGTCCTGCAGACAAGTTCCGCTGAGGATTGAAAACTATCAGCACGTCCCTGCAGCGGCGGGGCATGGGACGCAGGAGACCTCTGGGGAGGGTCCGCAGAGGATGGCTCTCACTCCACCTTCTGTCCCTTCACCGGCAGAGCTCAAAGGGCTGGAAACCGCGGACAAGTTCCACCAAGGGGCAAAAACTATCCACGCGTCCTTGGTGGGGGGGGAGGAGGGGGGGGCTTGTGCTGCTGGAGACCCCGGGAGGGTCCCGGAGGATGGCTCTCACTCCCCTCTTCCACTCCCTCCCTTGCCACGCTTGGGCCGGGCAACTCAGTCAAAGGAGCAATCTGTCTCACTTTTCTGTCCTTTCACAAGCGAGGCATAAGCCTCTGGTGTTTATAGATCTCCTAGCAAAGGCGACCTTATACCATGCCCTGGAGATTTCAAATTACTTTCCGCTCCTGCCTCCTCACCAACCTGCCTGCCCGTCCATGCTACCTCTTCACGCTGTCTACAGGCCCTTCCCTGCTTGTGTGGGCATGGAGGTCGGTGAAGGAGAAGTCGTCCCCCTGTGGGATGGATCACACAGCCTTGTGGCTGCCGCTGAGCGTGGCCAGCTTGCACTCAATCCCCGCAGTACCACTCGGATTCTCAGAACTTCACAGTAAATCCACTGAGTCACTTTCTTCCTTTTCCCGGCACTGCTGCCCCTTGAAGCTTCCCTGCAGTTCCGTGAAGCTGATCCTACCCACTCGAGTGATTCAGGCCGCCTTCTTCACCTCCCACTCCAAGAGCAGAGAGCCAGGAGGTCATCCCTAGTCCTCCATTTTTGACAATCCAGCAATTTTTAAATATTAAGTAGACTTCATTGAGAGCTATGATAATAAGCACAGACCTCTAACCACAAGAATTATTGGGAAATTGGAAACTTAGAGACAGTAGCTATGGAAACACATCAAGAAAGCAGATTTAAAATTTCTCCACAGAAATTTCATTCTAGGACCATGGTAGGCTTTAGTCAGCTCTGGATTAATATCTCACTGCCTATATAATGCCCTGACTTTAGGAGTCTATGGATGGGCTTTATCTCATTAGGAAGGAAAAGGATAGAGAAGCAGAAACCTTGTGGTCTGCAGGTATAACTTGCATGTCTCTGGGAGCTGAGTTGTAGAACATCAGAGCTCAAAGAGATAGCTGGGTCCTAGGTTTTAGGTGAGAAGTAGCTCCAGACCGCTGGGCTAGGGACCTGAGCATGGAGACTTTCAGTTACTCCTTGTGTTCCCTCATGCAAATGACTACTGTAGGGGATTTGCTAGGAGTTGAGATATGAGTGATATTGCAACAGGAGTGGTAGTAAGTCACCATCAGGTTGGGTAGGCTAATTGCTTGGCCTGATCAATCAGGGCCTCATTCATTTTGTTACCTGATGCTCTAGAGTCCACCATAGCAGATGTCTGACAATTCCTTATTCAAAGCTCTCTTCACTTAGCTGGGAGACAGGGCTTTATGGGAATTCCTGGGCGTTGTGCTCAAAGCAGGCATCTCTGAACCAAACCAGCCTGCCATGCCGCGTCCAAGTGCAGCTTCTCAGGGTGGCACTGGGCCTGGTTCACTGGCCCCGCTGAGCAGCACTGACGTTGCCTGGGCCTCTCGGGGATGACCAGTCTGCCTTCAGGTCTGGCCTCATTTAATCAGTTCTAGGAACAGAAACCTTGTGGTCTTCTCTGAGTCAGTCATTCCAATATTGTCCCCGTAGGGCAAGCTGCCTGAATTCTTTAACATTTCATCTGACCAGTGGAAATGTGGGTTGACTAATTCAGCAAGCTCTCCCAGAGAGTACTAAAAATGTTTAGAGCGACAGTGGACCCTAATGCAGGTAGGTGCTCGGCTGTGTGAACAGGGTTGGCTATAGTTCAGCTACCCTAACAAGCAGACATTAGAAACAATCTCTTTCAGGCTCATCTTAAAACCATGAGTCCTGACTGTACATGAAGAGTAATAAATGTATAGGGAAGATCAGGAATTCTGCTGGATTGCCTATGAGCTCCTTTGGAAATGAGGGCAGGGGCAATACTTGGGGGATCAGCAGTATTTTCAATACAAGATTAGACATTCTGCCTTTACCTCTGTCATTTAGGCTGAAAGAGGCCCTTGGAGATCTGCGTTTTCTTCATGCACTACCATGTACCCCAGGCATAAGTATTAAGAGCAGTGATTCATTTACCCTTTTTATAACAGCAACAGGGAAGGTCCCTTGAAATTGGTGACTCTAGAAAATATGTCAAAAACTGGTAGGAGCCTTAAGTCCAGCTAGGAGTTCAGTGCTGAGCATTGGAGCCCAAGGAGCTGAGCCTGAGCCAGACCTTCCCTGAGGCACTCCCAAGCAAAAGAGGTTCATCCAATCCCAAACCCACTGGTAAAGTTAAGGCCCAGGAAGACCAAGCCAAAAAGGCCAGAGACAGAATTGGAGTCAGACAGAGACTAGCTTGAAGCTACAGCAGATAAGCACAAGTGAAGAGGGTCTAATGCAAATGATACCAAGAGCCATATTTGTCCCTGTCACACAGTGGGCGAAAGAGCGTAACAGGAGGAGGAAGGTTAAGAATATGAGAAGATGGCCATGACAGTACCTGCGATTAGCCTCGAGTCATCTGCATTAGTGTGTGGGTGACACCACCCTGCTCACATCGAAGATGCCAGCAGCCCAAAGGACAGCATTTCAGACCATGGGAATTTCCCATGAAAGGCTTTAAATGGACCACAAAACATTATACTTGTCAGTTTCAAAACAGAGGGGCATTTCCCTGGCACATTGTAACTAAATATATAGTTATTGATGGAATGAGAGAGCGTCAGAAGGCTCAGACGCAGCTAACAGTGTATGGTCCTGCTTTGGGTTCCACGTATAGTTATAGTTGCTCCAGAGGGCTTTAAAACCATGTGTGAAATTCCAGTTCTAGAAGCCTCTGCTATGAAACCTTTATTTTGTTAAAAATCACAGAAGTTAGTAGCATGTTACTGTGTGTATAGGCACAGCCACATCACATGCTGCTAATGTAGGCTGAGAAATGACAGTATTTACATGCAAAACAGAAAGAGAAAAATATGTGACAGAGAAAATAAGCAGAGAGATATCTAGAATAAAGTGAAAAAGTTAACACAGTTTCTTTTCTCTGATTTTCTGTTAGAAAAAGGAAGCGCAGTGTGATGAGATGTGTGACTGGGGATGAGAGGCCTGGACGGCGCTGCTCTAGCCCCGTGGCCACGCTGCGCCAGGCAGGCGCCTGCCCTCTCGCGTCTCTTTCCATCCGTCATGTAGAGTTGACCGTGTACTTGCTTCTGATTGAGAAATATGGATAAATGAGATTTTTAAAAGTACATGGTTCTGGGAAAATGTCATAATATTCATTAGAAAATATGCTAATATTTTTTGTTCTCTAAATTTCCTCTCTTACCTCCCTTTTATTTTGTCTTGGGGAATATATCTGAAGTCAAAATAAATTAAAGAGGTTCCTTTTATTTCATATTTTCTCCGCCTGGCAAGATTTATACTTTTAACTGATATTTATGAAGTTGCCTAAGGAATTTAGAGATCTTATTGGATTTTGTAGTGTTGTATGTTTAGTATAATTAAATTATTAGTACAATAGATATACAAGTTAATTTCCTTGATCTTTAACTTGATTAATTAGAGAAACATGTTGACCCTTCTCTTTAAATCTCTTTTCTTTCTTTGTGTCTTTGTGTTGTTATTGTTTTCCCTGCGTCTCCTTTACAGCTGTAATCAAATTCATGTCCACCTGTAGCATGAATAATTTGGAGCTACTGTGCTATTTGGCCACAGGCATTCCCTATTCTTTTTTGGTATTAAGGGTGTGTTTAACCATCTGCCAGATAAATATAGGCAGTAGAAAATGAATATTCCAGAAGGCTTGATCCAGAACATCCTGAAAAAGTAGAGTATTAGTTATTGGAACTCTCAGTTTATTTATATCGCATATTTCCTTTGTCAGAGAAAAGAAGCTAGCCAGGGTACATTGGCCCAAAAGTATCTTGAAGCAATGGCTGTAATTGAATATATGCAAGATAAGTTGACGTAAGTATAAGGCACCACGATGGTAAGAGGATGAATGTTGCTGGCCAGGAGGTTTGGCCAAGAAATCCACGTGTGTTGGCTTACCTTTGGCTCTCCTACTTTATCCTCATTCGTGGGATGGGGATCTCCAAGTTTTCCGCTAAAGGCAATGAACTATATTGGTGTGATGGGAACATCCATCCTTACCCACAGTGGAACTGGAGGAAGTCAAAGAACCATATGTGTATGTGTGGGGGGGAATTATTAGGAGTGATCCAATTCAGTATATTTCTAAGAGATGACTTAGGGAAATAAATGGAACTAGGAAAAACTATTGTGCTTGAGAAAGAATGTTACATAACCCAAAGAGTAGGAAGGACAATATAGTTGAGATGGCTGAGGATGCCAAGAAAAGACTATAGCCATATAGACATATAATATGTGCTGTAGTAATTAAGAAGCACGTCCCAAACTAGTTTTCTTGATTGTAAAGTCTGGTTTTAGAGGTGCTAGAAAAGAAGGGATGTTATTGGGATTTTTTTTGTTGGATCATATCAATTAAAATAAACTAAAATTAACTCTTAAAAGGTAATGGATAGGCCGGCGTGGTGGCTCACGCCTGTAATCCTAGCTCTCTGGGAGGCCGAGACGGGCAGATTGCTCAAGGTCAGGAGTTCGAAACCAGCCTGAGCAAGAGCGAGACCTCATCTCTACTATAAATAGAAAGAAATTAATTGGCCAACAAATATATATAGAAAAAATTAGCCGGGCATGGTGGCGCATGCCTGTAGTCCCAGCTACTCGGGAGGCTGAGGCAGGAGGATCGCTTGAGCCCAGGAGTTTGAGGTTGCTGTGAGCTAGGCTGACGCCACGGCAGCTAGCCTGGGCACTAGCCTGGGCAACAAGTGAGACTCTGTCTCAAAAAAAAAAAAGGTAATGGATAGAAAATTCCAAATACCCAAAAGTCAGATTTTACTAAGAAATTATAAATATGTTGTATTCTTAAATGATAACATGATTGCTACTCTGAGATTAACATCCTGAGTAGTTCCTGGGCCCCCAATTCTTGGTTAATTATTGATTCTTCTGCTTCCCTTCTCCTCTTCAGACACATTTGTCTAATCCCATTGCCTGTATTAAACAATGAGTTTCTATGCCAAAGATACTTTTTGACCATTTTTATTTTGTTGTGTATCTCTGATGCGTTTGTCCACATCAGGGAGGTTGAAAACAGAGCCAGACAGGCAGAGGAGAAGTTTGAGGATGCAAACGAGAAACTCCATTATACCCTTATAAGAAATAGTGATCTGGAGAAGGAATTAGAGGAAATAGTTGGGACATCTAGAAAAAAGGAACCTGAAAGAGAAGAAGAAAATAAAACAGAGAGAGACGGAGAAGGCAGGCCAGCAGAAGGTTCTTCAAAATCTGTAAATAAAAGTAAGGCTTACTTTCTCATTTTTCTTTACTTAGGTTATATTTATGAAAGAAAACTTGACTGGGCCACGAATATTTTAGAAGAGCATCAATACTTTAGTGCTGATATACTGGTTTATACTTCTCATAGGAATGCACATACATTTAATAATTGTCTTATTCACAAAAAGGAAAACCAAATGACTGACAATTGTGAATACAATTTTTATTTACAAAATGGAAAAGATGTTTTGAAAATAAAAGAAAACACAATGCTGATCAGAAGTGGCAACATACAGTAGTTAGTTTTACAGATAATACTTGTGGATAGATGAACAGATATAACAGCTCTCTTAGAAAATAATTTGATAGTATGCATCAATATTCCTTAAAAACATGTATATATTTTGACCTAATAATTTCACATTTGAGAATCTAAGAAATAATTCTAAATACAGAAAAAAATTAATGTGCAAATATGTTTAGTATATTATTGTATATGATAGGGAAAAATAGAACCAACTTACCTGTCTAATCATGGAAGAAAGATTAAGTAAATTATGCTATATCAACATACATGAATATTGTACAACTATTAAAATGGTGTTTAAAAAGAGTTTGTAGTGATACAGAAAATTTCTATGTTAAAATACCAAATACAAGAAACAGGGATATGACACAATTTTTTAAAGCTAGAAAACAAACCAGAAAGAAATATGTCCAAATATTGACAGATATTGTCTCTGAGTGATGGAGGTTTATGGAGAATTTTGTCTTTGTTTTATTTTTTGATACTTGGATTTTCTATGATTAAAAATACCTTCTACAAGAAGAGGGATTTAACTTTCGTTTGCTTGCTTCTAATTAGTACTGTTATCTGCCCACAAGTAGTTCTCAATATTCCCAATACTGAAGGCTATTTTTTAATTTTGCTTTCATCTCCACCTTGTGGCCTGTTCCCATGACAACTCCTGGTGCAAGGGATAGTACTGGAAAGATACTTTGTGTTTTTCTCTATTACCCCTACCTCTCTATGCCGACCTCCCCAGCAAAAACAACAAAGTTAGTCAATCTCTCACAGCCCCAGGCCCTGTATATAGGGGCATCGACACTGTTTAGAGGAGTCTGAGCTCATTTTCTCTATTTCTTTCTACTTTGAACTGGTGAAAATGTTATTTGTTCCAAGTGTGACAATCCATTAGTTTTAGGTTTGAATATATATGAGATGGTTTTCATGAATTGTAAAAATTTTATCCTATCATATTCTGGATATAGTTTTATCCCAATAATTTGAAAACTAGACCTTTTCTAGATTTAGAAAGATAAATATGCAAACCATATGAAAGGCCTACTTATTAAACTAAAGAGAGTACTTCAATATGGAATGAGCGTCCTTAGTTTTGTCCATTCCCATGAAGGTCTTCAGGATTAGGTTAAATCCAGAACTGAGAAGTTTTAACGATTTAAGGTAGGGGATAACTATTTTTTTTTTTTTTTTTTTTGAGACAGAGTCTTGCTTGGTTGCCCAGGCTAGAGTGAGTGCCATGGCGTCAGCCTAGCTCACAGCAACCTCAATCTCCTGGGCTCAAGCAATCCTTCTGCCTCAGCCTCCCGAGTAGCTGGGACTACAGGCATGCACCACCACGCCTGCTCATTTTTTCTATATATATTAGTTGGCCAATTAATTTCTTTCTATTTATAGTACAGACGGGGTCTCCCTCTTGCTCAGGCTGGTTTTGAACTCCTGACCTTGAGCAATCCGCCCACCTTGGCCTCCCAGAGTGCTAGGATTACAGGCGTGAGCCACCGCGTCAGTCCAGGGATAACTATTAATATATGTAGTCCGCAACCTGCAAACAATAACCTACACAAACACATAGTCACCCTTCTCTCCCTCGCTCACCCTTCTCCCCACCTGCACCACCATTAAAGTCATTGCTGGGAGCTCAAAAGTGGAGGATAGAAGCCTTGAGAAGCTTAGAAGAGCTGGCTCCTAAGCAGAGCAGTGCTCACGCCTTGCAGGTGACCTGAACAGAGAGAGTCTCCAGAAAATCCGTAACTTAGACATTTCTTAGGGTTAGTACGTAGCCCCTTGAAAAAACGCAAACACCTCTGGAGCAATTTGATGCTGCTATATTTGTAAGAGCATCAACAAATCACTTTTTTCCTGAGAATTATGAAGTAAAGGATTGGAAAATTATATTATGGTAAAGGAAGGAGCCTTGTGAATGCTGAGTAAAGAGAATACCCAGGCAGAGTAGAGGGACATATTTATTTTTGTTTTTATAAAGTCAATATTTGTAATAATTAGCAAATCACTGTGCTCTGAACTAACTGGGAGTGAAGAAGGGAATCGAGAGAGGAGTTTACAAAGGTCAGTATGGCTTAGGCCCTGATCTCAATGGGTCTACACCTGGGTGTGGGGAAGATACACTAAAAGTAGTACAAAGTGTGAACAAAGGCAACCAAGTGTAGGGTGGAGGTGGCAGCAGTCACTCTGAAGAATTGAAATTGGGAAGTTGGTTTCCATGGAGCCGCTTTTCACTTGCATGTCAGGGAGAGCAGCCTTGATAGCCAGAGGCTTCCTGCACGCATCTTGGGGGTGGGCTTGTGTAGGGTCTGTGCGCAGGAGATGGGGGAAGGATGGGAAGACAGTAGAGGGGCACAGGAATGGATAAGAGAGGATTCTGAAGAATAACTCTGTTGGAAAATTTTTTTTTTTCAACAAGCTTGGGATGTGTACAAGAAAGAAGGAAGAAATGTTCTTCATCTTTTTCTTCTTCACTCCTTTTTTTTTTTTTTTGAGACAGAGTCTTGCTCTCTTGCCTGGGCTAGAGTGCTGCGGCATCAGCCTGGCTCACAGCAACCTCTAGCTCCTGGGCTCAAGCGATCCTCTTGCCTCAGCCTCCCAAGTAGCTGGGACTACAGGCATGCGCCACCATTCCCGGCTAATTTTTTCTATATATTTTCAGTTGTCCAGCTAATTTCTTTCTATTTTTAGTAGAGACAGGGTCTTGCTCTTGCTCAGGCTGGTCTCGAACTCCTGAGCTCAAGCAATTCTCCCGCCTCGGCCTCCCAGAGTGTTAGATTGCAGGCGTGAGCCACCGCGCCCGGCCCTTCTTCACTCCTTGACCACATAGTCTCCTGCCCTAAGACCCAGAACTCAGACAATAAACTGACCACATTTAAACTTTGGGAAATGAATTATGAATCCCAGTAACCAATGTGAGTCAATTTTTTGCACATAGCTTATTTGTAGCTTAGGGGTTACTTAGGCAGAATGAGATTTTAAAACTACTTTGTAGGCCAGGCGTGGTGCCTCATGCTTGTAATCCTAGCACTCTGGGAGGCCAAGGCGGGAGGATTGCTTGAGCTCAGGAGTTTGAGACCAGCCTGAGCAAGAGCAAGACCCTGTCTCTACTGTAAATAGAAAGAAATTAGACAAACAACTAAAAGTAAAAAAAATTAGCTGGGCATGGTGGCACATGCCTGTAGTCCAGCACCTGGGAGGCTGAGGCAGGAGGACTCCTTGAGCCCAGGAGTTGAGTTGCTGTGAGCTAGGCTGACGCCACGGCACTCACTCTAACCCGGGCAACAGAGTGAAACTCTGTCTCAAAAAAAAAAAAAAAAAGTAAAACTACTTTGTAAAGTTAAAAGCTTTTAGTAAACTGTAATCCTAGCTCTCTGGGAGGCCGAGGCGGGCGGATTGCTCGAGGTCGGGAGTTCGAAACCAGCTTGAGCAAGAGCGAGACCCCGTCCTCTACTATAAATAAGAAGAAACTAATTGGCCAACTAATATATATAGAAAAAATTAGCCGGCATTGTGGCACATGCCTGTAGTCCCACTTGGGAGGCTGAGACAGAAGGATCACTTGAGCCCAGGAGTTTGAGGTTGCTGTGAGCTAGGCTGACGCATGGCACTCACTCTAGTCTGGGCATCAAAGCGAGACTCTGTCTCAAAAAAAAAAAAAAAAAAAAAAAAAAAAAGCTTTTAGTAAATATGTTAACTACAATACTCTAAATATGTTGTCTTTTTAGAGGTACCACACAAGAAAGGTACTCTCAACATTAAATCCAAAATCCAGGCAAAATTCAAATTCATACTGTGAATTCAGATTCACAGTATGAAACCTAAGTAACATCCACAGGGCACTGGGGTTTAAAATGGCTGTATCCACTGAACACACCCCAGATATAGCCATGCCATGGATTTGATCATGTGGCTCAATTTGAAAAACTCTCTTTGTAACGGCTATTAGAAAAGCCACAACGTACCCAAGGGCATTTTCTCTTGAAAAGTCGCAGTGATAGCTATAGGGAGTCAGTGCGCTAGCCTCACTTCCCGGATTAAAAATAGGTTGTGCAAAAGTTTGGAAACCTCTTCAGTTGATTTCCTAACAGAAGTCTGTGAGAAGTGTTGGTTTCTATCAAGAAAATAGTGCTTTTTGAAGACTGAACTCTGCAGAGAAGACTGGCAAATAAAAAGCATTAGTTTTTCAATTTACAAGAGAGGATTCTGATGATGCCCTTGGACTCTTACAGCATTTTTGGATTTCTTATCATTTTGGGCATGCTTATGATTTATGTGATCTTCAGAATAGCCTTACAAAGTAGGTGGGGAAGATACTGTTATCCCCATATCTCAGAAGATGAAACACAGGCCCAGAATGGTTTAAGACTTCCAGCAGTCACAGAGCTGGTCAGTGTCAGAGCCCCCAGCTCGCTGGACTCATGTCTAGACTGTTTGACAATGGTGAAGGCCACCAGGCCATTGCTCAGACAGTCTCCTTCACAGGGGCCTGTGTTACTGAAGATTCACCCAGAATATCCATTTTTTGCTTTTATTGCCTCATTTGTCTGCTCTGTATATGACCCTGAATCCATCCAGGCTCCAGAGATAGACTCTAACCTGCAAAAATCAGTTGCAGATGACAAACAGATGTTCTAGGCAATCATTCAGCAGGGGTTCCCTCCTACCTCACTGCTCCTGGATTGCTTGCATTTGCTTTTATTTCTAAACACAT